GGCTCCGGTCGGCGAGGCTCGGGGGACCCGGCCGGCGGCTCCGCCATGTTGCACCCTTCCCACGACCGCCTCCTCGGCGGGCCCGGCCCGAGAGCGGCTCACCTTCTCGCAGAGGCTCTTAACCTGCGATTCGGACAGCTGCTTGCACTCATTCAGCTGCTCGATCCACTGGTCCAGCTCCTTGGTGAACACCTTCTCGTCCATGATGCCACCCGCCCGAACCGGCCGCCGCTCCGCGCTGCTCCCGCGCCGCCGCCCGCAGACGGGCCACACGCACACTCCGCCACCGGTTCCTGGGGTGTTCTTGTGGTCCCTGGCGGTCGCTGGGCGCTGGCGCCGGCCCGCTGGCTCTCCCTGCAGCGCTCGGCCCCCGGCGGCTGCGGCTCCTCCTCAGCTCGCCCTAGCTCGGGAGCTCGGCCCTGTAATGGCGGCCGCCCGGCGTGGTGACGTCACGCCGGCGTCAGGAGGCGGTGGGGAGCCGAGGCGGGGAAAGGGCAGAGACGCGCACTGCGCAACCTCAGAACGGGCCGCGCTCGGCCGCTCGGTCGGAGAAGGGACGCACACTGAAGAACCAAACGCTGGCGCAGCGTAGCCGGCGGTGACTGAGGCGCCTTCGCTTTTGGGGCGTGGTCCAAGAAGGGCGGGGTCGTGGGGGCGGAAAGAACGGAATCCGAGCAGGCGCAGTACTCGAAACTAGAATCTGGCTAGTCCCGCGGCTCTACGCGCCGCGCAGGCGCAGTCGAGTACAGCACGGGTGGCCGGGCGTGCGCCCGGCGACCCGAGCATTCGCTCCCTCGGGAAGGCGGTTTGGTCGACACGCCTGGGCTCTGCGCCTGGGGACTGGCAGCCGGATCACGGAACCGAGAACTGCGAGCCCACAGCTCTTCCGTTGACGCTGGAACTGGGGGTGCCCGCAGCTTTGGGGGCCGGAACGGGCGCCGAGTGGCAGCCTAATAGGGAGTGACCGCCTCCGCCCCTGGGCGCTGCCCACACCGTGTAATTGGGTCACTCGTGGGCGGAGGAGGGAACCCTCCGGGGGCGTGACGCGCAGCGCACCTGACCCCGGCCGCACCTCGTCCTGCCAGGCCTGGCCTTTGCTCGCGGCCTGGGACCACGCCTCCCTGCTGTCGCCTTCCGCGTGTCCACTTTCCCGCAGACCAGTTCCCACCGACACCGAGCCCCCGACGCCTGCCGCCCCGGCCTGCCTTCTAGTGGGGCGTCCCGAAGGACGCAGACGCACCAGCTGGGTCTCTTTAGGGTTTGCGAAGCTTTTCACGTTGTATTGTCCCTCCACTTACAGAAATACTTGGCTTTGCAGAGCGCCAAGTATTTGCTAGACCCCACACCCTGAGGGATAGCGGGTCATCCAAATAGATGAGAGATCCTGCCCTGATGGAGTCTGTGTTCTCCAGCCATAAAGAACAAGGGCTAAAGCCGAACCCTGGTTTCCTGTGTTCTAAGGGCCTGCCCTCTATCGCAGCCCGCCCCAACACACCCAAGTGTTCCCTCGACACTGTGCAGGAGAGTTTTCATTCTGCAGCTTGGAGGGCATCCCCCGACCCACAGGCTAAAGAAGGCCCCGTGGCCTCAGCCTCCAGTGGTGGGACTGAAAATTCTTCATCCAAGAACCTGCTTGGCAAGGCTGACTTGCTTGGCCTCCCCAAGCTGAAGATTGTATCTGCTTTCCTTTTGTACCTCCTACTGGTATGCCGAGACCTACTCCTCCAGAAAGCTTATCATAGACTTAATTTAACCAGCCTGGGGGAAAAGTTCTTTTAGCTCCAATTCTGCCCCTTGTTGCAGTTAACATCCCCAAATAAGAGAGTGAGAGTTATAACCCTGTGGAATGAAGGAGGAGGAAAAAACACTTCCCTTGGTGTCCACATGCCCCATGTGCTGCCTTATCTTATTGCTCACCATTTCCCTGCACCTGTGTAAGAGCTGAGCCTATCTGATAACGCAAGAAGCAGCCAGGCACTCAGGAAAGAGAAGGGGCTTGCCTAAACAGTGGTCAGAATTCAACACCCCAAACTCACAAGGTCTCAGCCATAGTCACACAACTGTCCTCTTAAGGACTGAAATACGGAGCAGTTTTAACATAATTTCTCTTCGCCTGCTTTCTGTTACCTTCAGGGATGGTGGTGATGTTCGTTTGGTAAATTAAAAAGTATTGAACACCCCCTAAGTGCTAAAATTATAATGGCAGTGTTTTTCCAACAGTGTGAGCTCTTTGTCGGTAGCATTAATACAGGTATTTTCTCTTGATGCAGATGACTTGGCTCTCCTCCACCACCAAATGGAGGGAAGATATAATTATATGTATTTAAAGCATCCTGCCAAATAATTAAATGCCATGATTTAACTTCTTAAGGAATGAATTCTAGGAAGAGGTTCTTACTAGCATTCAGGCTGCGAGGTAAAAAGCATGCATGACTATAAACAATATATAACTATATTAATCGGAATATCTTTTCCTCTAGAAGAAATCCAGAATATTTTCTTATACTGTAGAACTCAAAATAACCAATGGATCTGAAAGCTGAATTTGATTAATCTGGTCTTAACTTATTTGACTGTCTCCATTCTAGAGGTGAGGGAATACTTGGAACAAAAATTTTAAAGCAAACCAAAAAAAAATTGCCCTTTCAATTTCTTGGCAAAAACCAGAAAGTAAATAAAGCAAAAATTGCTTCAAGAAAGAATGTTTGCTCTGATGGCAAATTCAGTATACAGCAAGTCTGAGAGTTGCCCATGTTTAAACATGGCTATAAATAAAAATCATCTGATGATGAGGGCGGGCAGAAGGAGGGTAACCTTGAGCAAATAGCTGTATAATAGGCACCCTTAGCCAAGATATAAAAACGGACATTAAACATGGAAAAGGAATGAGATGTATTTTATTTGTCAGCAATTCTCATGGCCTTACGTGAGGCTTATTTTGTCGTTGTTGTTCCTTCTAGTTTCCTAACTTCAGAACTTAGTAAGACAGGTTAGAGCTGTGATAAGAAATGGCTCCGGAGTCTGATGGACCTGGGTTTGAATTCCCACTCTGCACATGTCTAAATGAGTTAAGCTGGGCAAGCTACCTAACTTTTCTGAGTCTCAGCTTTCTCATCTAAAAAGTGGAAATAACTATAATAGCTAAATCATATTTTGCTGAGAATGAAATGAAATTATAAATGTAAAAGCCCAATGGTATATAATAAATATCTAAGAAGTGTTACATATTTCTATTACAGTTTCTAGGTAGACTCTGATTTTAAATACTCTCTAATGGCGGTTAGAGAGTCCCTCAGTGCTTGTCATGAAATGCCTACCGGTTTTGGGGTGGAACATAGGATACAGGGATCTCAAACGCATACACAGACAAAGCCATAGCGGGAGGAAATCCAAAGAGGTAGAGATGGAACAGAAAGAACATCCCCTCTTCCTTTGTGATCAGCAGACATTCAGAAGACTTATTGGATAGTTACTTAGGAATAAACCTAAGGATTAGTACAGTTAGTCAGTCCTATGCGCCTGTCAGTTCAGAATCCTGTATCTGAAGAGGGTGCCACACCTGAAAAGGGTGACGTGCTTTTATGCACCTAGGCCTTCTATGCTCCCAAAGTCCCCAGATAAAGTCCTGAGCAGTCAACATCTTAGTGGCTGTGTCCATGGAAAGCCTGGCACAACGAGATCTACCCAACCACCAGATTTCCACACTCAGCTTACCCAATGCCCCCTGCCATTCACTGATATCTGTCTCTAGTCCTCACCTCTGTAGTTTTTAGATAAATTAACTTTACAAGGTATGTGGCCCTTTCACCCTGGAATGAGACTTTTATAAGCTGCAGTTTAAGTGTTGTGGCCAGGAACTCTGCCACAGATACAAAACAGGCCTTTCTACTCGCTCCTGCAGCGTGGCTAAAGAAAAAAGAAAAATGATCATGCCATTTGGTGAGGCCCATGACATCCAGATAGCATTCTTAGTTACAGAAGGAAATATTTTTCTGTTACAGAGGGGAAAAAGTCTCTAAAATTGAAGGCAGAGTCCTATAGTCTAGAGGAGTGTGAGCCTTATGAATACTAAAATCCCTTTATAGCGGTCTGTTTATTGACACAATATATTAGAATAGTATATTTGATACAAAAAGTAGAAGTGTATATATTACTCTATTAAATATGTTATAAATATGTTTATAAGCATCTTTAGAAAGCTGCAATGAAGTATTAATAGTGGTTGCTTCTGATGAGTGAAATTATTTTTTACTTTTTTTCTGCTTCATTCTTTGTTTGTTTGTTTTTTTTTTTTTTTTTTTGGTTTTTCTCCGGTACCGGGAACCGAACTCACGACCTTGCGCTTGCCAGGCAGGCGCTTTGCCGCTGAGCTAAATCCCCAGCCCCCTGCTTCATTCTTGTATAATGAATACATACTGCTTTTAAAACTGAAAAGGAGCCGCGTTCAAGAGGCTGAGGCAGAAGGATCACCATGAGTTTGAGGGCAGCCTGGACTACATAACTACATAGTGAGTTCAAGGTCAACCCGAACTGCATAGCAAGAGCTTGTCTCAAAAAAGAAAAAAAAACCATAAATAAATAAAACTGCAAAAAGAAAATGTGCAAACTATCCAGATAAACATGATCTCCAAGCCATCTCTTTGGAGAATCAGAAGCCTAGAGGGCATGTAGCCAATAGTTCTGCTACATATTCCACTGTGCCCAGGGATATTACGCAAGGACCTCACATTATGGGAAGGAGTCTTGGGCTTTTTCCTACCTTCTGTCTCACAAGCTCCTGCCCTCAGCCCAGCCTGCCCCTTCCTCCCCAAATTAATGGTGTACTCATTCATTCTTTTACCCACCCTGTCCCTGCTCCTAAGATCACACCCTTGGATCTCTGTGAACCCTACTGCCTAAGATCAGTTGGGTCTCATATGTCCTGAGACGTCTTCTCTGATGACTCTAGCTCTCTTGATTGGATGTGCCTCCGAGGTTAGGAAGAGAGCACCAGACACTGCAGAACAACACAGACCCTGATCCCTGTTAGAGAAGAGACTTGTGAATGGAGGACTTGTTGGTGAGCCCGTGTGTGACGTTCCCTAAACACTTCAGAAGCACTGTGGAAGACGGAGATGCTTTTGTAGGGCATCGGGAAATCTGTTCGCATCTTGTCCTTTATTTTCTAGATATGCAGTTCACCAGTGCTCTAGCTTGAAACCAGGCAAGATTTTGAAATTCCATTCCCCAAAGTAGGAGAATTTGGAAGGATAGAAGTATCTGACCAGTGCTGTGAGACTTATTTGCAAAGATAGAAATCATAGGACCACACTTCTATCTCATGGAATCTCTCTCCTTTAGGACTGTTTATTCTGTAAATTGACAGAGAACACCAGGTAGTGAGGCTCATCTTTAAATTACTTTTTCTTTCCATGGTGCTGGGGATCAAACCCAGGGTGTTGCACATACTAGGCAAGTACCCTACCACTTACCCATATGACCAGCCCTTTTGTAGTTTGATTCTTTTTTTTTTTTTTTTTTTTTAAGAAAGGCTGATGCTAAGTTGCCTTGGCTGGCCTTAAACTTCTGATCCTCCTCCCTCAACCTCCTGAAGTACCTAGGATTACAGACCTGCACCATTTTGCTTGGCTTTCATCTTTAAATTCTGATTCTAAAGGATGGAATTGAGCCCCCAAACAAAAGAAAGACAGTGTATGCAAAAAAAAGTGATTAAGTGATTTAGTGCCTACAAGTTGATGGTTGTTCTGAGAAGGATACTAAGTAGTTGTCTCAGTTTTTGAAAGAATATGCAAAAGGAAATGAACCTTTGTTAAGTAGTAATAATGATAAAGGCTTTCATTTATTAAGGACTTGCCCCATAGGAGGTGCTCTTCCTAGGGCTTTATCCACCTTAATTCACTTATTCCTCATGCTTACAAGGTAAGCACTATTACTATCCTCTCTTAGATCCAATCCATCTAAAAACACCCATCCTCCTCCATTTTTGCTCCCCATACCATACCAAAGGCTCTCAACTGTCTTTTTTCCTGATATAACCCTTTCTTCTCTTCTGTTCCTTATGTGTTCATCCAACTAGGTGACCCATAGGCACTAAGGCTGTTGACCTCTGAGGGGTGCCTTTGGTTTTTTTGTTGTTGTTGTTGTTTTTGTTTTTTTCCAGTACCAGGAATCGAACTCACCACCTCCCACTTGCCAGGCAGGCTCTGTGCCACTGAGCTAAATCCCCAGCCCCCTGAGTGGTGCCTTTTGAAGCCACCTTGTTTGCAAATGAGACCCAGTCCATAGGCTGAGTACAGGCAGTCTGGACAGCAACGAGAAGACAAAATTAAACAATTCTGAAAGCAAATTGATGTACCTAGACTCTTTGCTCTTTCCCCACACTGGGGACTATAGTCCTGATGTACTAGTCCATCTTGTCTTTAACTTGAGTAGCCCACTGTGCACAGCACTCTCTTCCTCTTAAGAGTCAGCTGGTGTATAAGGAGAAAAGATCTGGACTCATCCCACCTTTGCCACCATGAACCTGAATGACTTTGGACACATCGTTTCCGTCAGCTATGCAGGCGTTGGGCTGTACCGGGAGTTCTCAACTGAATTCTCAGTTCACAGGTGGATTGAGGGGAATCTACCAACCCTTAAAGGATCATGTAGGAGTTTTCTTTTTTATTGGAATTTTTACTGAGAGAGTTTTAGATTCACATGCAGTTGTAAGAATACATAGACTCAGTTCCCTGTGGTAACATTTTGTAATGCTATAGTCCCATGCCACAACACTATAGGATATTGTTATTGATTCAGTCAGCCCATTCAGATTTCCTGGTTTTACAGATGCACATTTGTGAATGTGCTAGTGTGTGTATAGTGCTATACAACTGGGAATTTTTTTGTGCAGGTGCTTCTTTTCTGGAGAAAGGTATCTTAGCTTTTTCACGTGTCAGAGATCCATGAAAGGGTTTGATTCTAAGCTCGGATTTATAGTAGGTTCCACCCCCAAATCCCTATAGCTCTCTGTTCCAGCAGTTAACATTTAATTAGCACTGACCACATGGCAGGCATAAGGGCAAGGAGCATGGGCAACAGGTAATAGGAGAGGTATAGGGGCAAAGAGGGAAAACCCAAAGGTGCACAGACCACTGAGCTAGTGGTCTGCGAGGGAGAGAGGCAGTCCACCAGGTGAACAAATCATTTATTAGTCAGGTACCAAAGAGGTGAAGCTGGGCTTATTGCTTGGCACGGCGGGGGAAGCATTTCCACAGAAGCTGATGTTTGAGCAATATCTTGAAGGATGATCCAGAATTCTTCAGCTGAGAAGAGGAGAACTGTTAAAATCATTCCCTTTGAAATCATATCTATTCTTGATGTTTGGAGAAAACATAGGAAACCATGCCTACATTTGTTTATTCTACAATGTTAAGGTGTCAGATTCTTCAATTCCCATGTGCAAGTGCTGAGGCCAAGAGATTTTTTCCCCTTGAGTATATTTTCCACTATCTTGTCCAAATTGGATACCAGATCCTGCCTGCCTAGCTTGAGAAAGGCATTTTATCTCTGGTGTGCCTTGATCACATCAGAGCTTATATTTAAAGCATGAGCGGTGAAAAGAGACCGCAGCTGGCTCGGTCCCATCCCTACAGTGCCTTCCTCCTCCACCCAGTACTCAGGAGGTCAGTCCAGCAATGGCTACTGGGAGTTGGAGCCCTGAGTTACACCTCTTAGTTCTCCAGTCCCGAGGATCTCCTTTACCACAGGGGTCACCAGAAACTCCCAGGGGCTTGGGTGTCCTGGCTCCTCATATTGGCCCTCCCTGTGGTTAACTGTCCTGTGTAGGCTCTGGCTCAGACACCCCAGGGGAGCTCTTGCTCTGTGTGGATTTCAGGCTACTCAGTGCTAATACTATTCTCAAGGAGATCATTCTTTCTGGTACAGCCACCTCTGGCTGCAAAAGAGCTAAGATTATTACCAGGCCCCACTCTGAGGAATTCTTAGAAACTACAAACAAAGCACCATTTCTTATGATCTCTAGTCCTCAGTGAAGTTATTTTACCTTGAAATCTCAGTATCTCCACCTATAATGTGGGAGGGGGTCATAACAGTACCATTTTCATAGGGTTAGGGTTAGTTTAAAATTTGAACCAGATAAAACTCAGCATATAGCAAGTACTCCATCTACTTGAGATATTATTATTAACATGTTTTTATACTAAAGTTATTTGTGATAATTTATGAACTACTCCAATTTTAAAGAAAAGACAGTTATGAAGTACTCCAATTTTTTTTCTTTTACTTTTTTCTTTTCTTTTTTTGAGACAGGGTCTTGCTATGTAGTTCAAGCTGAACTATGTAGCCCAGGCTGGCCTTGAATTCACAGTGATCCTCCTGCCTCAGCCTCCTGATTGCTGGGATTATAGGCATGTGCCACCATACCCATACTCCAATTTTAGGAAAGAAACAGTCATAACATCTAGCTATAACTGCTATCATCATTTTGATGTATAGTCTTCCTAGCTTTGTATGCATGTATATGTGTGTGTGTATACTAGCAAAAATAAACTGGATTTGTGTTATATAATTTGTTGTATTCAACTGATATATCATGGGCATTTCCCAATGTTTAGGTGCTATTGGAAAATAATAATGTTTAAATACTACCTACTTTTTTAGCATATTTATTAACATAACCCAATTTATACTGAACCATTTGTTTAGTACTTACAGTTTCCTATTTTTATATTTATATATACAGTTCTGTATAAATGTCCTTGTTCATTAATTTGTGTGTGTATATCTCTCATTTATTTCCTTAAGATAAATGCTCAGGAATGACTGCACCCAAGGAAATACCCTGTTTTCATTTTGTTAACATTAGGTACACAGAATTAAATATAATCCTTGGGTTGTGACACATTCTCATGATTGGTATGTGGATGGCCCTGTTTTATCAATTTAGGTAGTAAGTTTATTAATTTAACAAGGTAATTGGCTCTTCTAAATCCACAACTCAAAACAAAAATGAGGATCAGGATGATAACCAATACTGAACCACAACCGCCCCACCACCTCTCCTTGCATTCCTCTCCCAAAGGAATCATCCTGAACCCTATTCTCACTTCCTCCCCTTCCTTCTTTATAGTTTGATTGTACTGATTTTTCCTAAAGAGCAACTTTAGAACTTATGCTTAGCTGTATAAAAAGGGTATCATGTTATATGTAATCTTTTAGGAATTTTTACCTCACTTAACATTACTTTGCTAAAATTCATCCATATCATTGCATTTCACTGGTTTGTTCATGTTGACTGATGTAAAATAATCCAAACAATAAATATACTATGTATTTGCTTATGTTTTTTGGGGGATTTTTCATTTGTTTTTTTAGGGAGGGTATTCCAGGCTGGCCTTGAACTCATTATGTAGCCCAGGTTGGCCTTGAATTTGCGATCCTCCTGCCTCAATTTTTTTGAGAGCTAGGATTATAGGTGTGCACCACCATGTCTGGCATATCCTATAGTTTATCATATACTTTATGGCTGATGGACAATTTGATTGTTTCTAGAATTTTACTCTTGCATACGATGCTACTATGATATTATTATAAATGTCTCCTGTTATATACATGTGCAAGTATTTCTATAGGGATTCAACTTACACTTCCACCAGCCATAGATGAGAGATCCTTTGGATCCACACCCTCTGGCATTCACATCTGTATAGTTTGGGATCCCCATGGTCAGGCTGCTATCCAGATAGTTAGGCCTATTTCCCTCTCCTCCACAATATACGAGAATGCCCATTTTCCCCAAACTCTTTCCAACAGTGAGGCTCATTTAAACATTCCTTTTGAAGATTTGATAAGAGAAAGGTAATATCTCCCTGCGGTTTAATTTTGTGGCAGGGCACTGACTCCTCCAAAGGCTGAGAAAAGGGTCTTGGCTCGGAGACTTGTTCCCAGTCTGATAACTTTAGTGACATTCCTGGAACTGATTCCCCAGGGCTCAGCTGCTTTCCCATGTCCTAAAAGAGGTGACGCTGTTGAAAGGAGGGAGCAAGGGCAGCTGGGATGGGAACCAAGCCCAGCTCACCACAGTGCAAGCTTGTCTCCTGGTCCCAGCCCCTGCCAGTGTCAGATCACTCCTTCTCCTGATGAAATAGGCATCATCTCTCCCTATCGCTACCAACAAAAGCCAGTATAATGCCACCCTTTGTTACGTATTTGAATTGATAAATTTAAACCTCCTTCCCTGCTCTGCAGTAAAAGAACTTTCTATTTTGGGCTTGGTGACATAGCCCAAATGAAGCAGAGAGCAGCAGGCTGCAGGAGGAGTTAATAGCTTTTCTTTAAGGGACAGAGAAAGGAGCCACAAGCAAACACCAGGGACCTTCCAAAATGTATTGTCTGGGTAGCACCACACAGCCCATTTGTCTAGATTTCTGCTGACATACATTTCAAGGCTGAAAATTGAACACTGCCTAACTTTCACAGAAAGTTGGTGAATTAATCCTGAACTCTTGGGTTTCTTAAATCAATTTGCCAGGAAGGTACTTGCCACTGTGCCTAGCACCAGACTAGGTACTATCTGGGAAAATAATTCTGTCATGAAGGGGATTTTTAGCCACCAAGTATACTGATTTCAGGGATGCTCTAAACATTTGCCTAAGAATATGATTTCCTCTGCTAGTCTATGTGTGAGAATTTCCCCACACTGGGATAGAACCCTGGGTGGTCTCAAGAAACCTCAGACATTCAAAGGAATGTATGTATATCTACTGTTATGGTTGATACATTGTGTCAACTTGGGGAGTCTAGAGGTTTAGCTAAGTGACTCAGCAGGAAGCCAGGGTGCTTACTTTGTATACATCCTGAGCCTGTGCAAGAGGAGGGCATGGAGATTATGTGAGAGCTACACACCCCTTAGGTGGGGGTAGCCCATTTTCAGTGTGAGGGAGGGAAAGAGGTTGCTTGCCGCAATTCCTGAATCGCCTTTTCTCTGGCTGCGTTGCTGTTCGGCTGCCATTCCCCACTTTGCTCTTGTTGCTTTGCTATCTTCTGCCTCGGAGCCAGCCAAGTATGGACTGAAACCTCCACAAACTGTAAGCTAAATAAACCTTTCCTTCCTTAATTTTGGGCATTGGGTATTTTGTCTCAGCAACGAGAGAAAAGTAACCAAGACATCTACTTAAATCACTGGCATCAGTGAGCACAAACCCTAGCCTGGAAGAATGGGATAGGAGAGAGGAAGTCTTCCCACTCTCTCATTTATTAAACTTTCTCTCATGGGAATTTTCAAATACATAACAATAAGTAGATAAAAGAGTGTAATAAGCCCATATTACCTATACCTGGCTTCAACAGTTATGAACAGCCAGGTGTGGTGGCGCACGCCTGTGATCCCAGCACTCGGGAGGCTGAGGCAGAAGGATCATTGCAAATTCGAGACCAGCCTGGGCTACAAAGTGAGCTCAAGGCCAGCTTGAACTGCATAGCAAGACCCTGTCTCAAAAAGACAAAAAAAAAAAAAATTATGAACATACAGCAATCTTATTTTATGACCTCTCCTCAATCTCCATTTTGAAACAGATTACACTTATTTTCATATCTGAATACTCTATATGCATTTGTAATAAGGACTCTTGTCTAAACAACCACTATATCACATGTAAAAATTAATAATAATTCTTAATGTCATTCAGTACTCAGCCAAAAGTCAAATTAACCTAATTCCCATAAATGTCTTATTGCAGTAGTGTGATGAAATCAGGAGCAAAACCGCACGCCTTGCACTTAGTATATCAAGAAATGTTCGGTAAATCAACAAATAACATGAGTTAATAATAGTTTTATAGTTTTAGCCACTTTTATAATTTTTTAATTTTAAATTTCTAGCAGTTCCTCTTTTTCTTTCTGACCTACTTCTTGGTGGTGTTGAGTTAATGAGTCTTCTAATTACTACTGCTGTAACAACAAAGCTCTCCAAATTTACTGGTGTGAAACAGCCAGCAGTGTATTGTGCATATTGGCTTCTATGAACCAGGAGCTCATAAAAAGCACAGTGCGGATGGCTTGTCTCTCTCCAAACTGTCTGGGGCCCAGACTGGGAAGATTCAAAGTCTATGATGATATCACAACCAGGACCTAGAAGCATCCGAAGGCTTGTTGACTCACATGTCTGGTGCTTGGGCTTGAAGCACCCCCAAACTGGCACTGCTGGCCAGGGCACCTATCCATAGCCGCTGTCTGTGGCTTGCCTCTTTCACAGCATGGCGAGCTCAGCACCAGTTAGACTTTTTTTTTTTTTTTTTTGGTAGTAGGTGCTGGGGATGGAGCCTGGAGCCTCGTGTATGCTATACATACATCCCTGAGCCGAGCCAATTCGTGGCCCCAGACGTCTTACTCACACCTTAGAGCTGCAAATGCAAGTGTTCCAGCCAACAAGGTAGAAGCTGTATCACTTTCTATGGCCTAACTTTGGAAATCAGTGTCACTTTTGCTGTGCTGTATTGGGTAGTGGACGTGCCAAGCCCACCCAGGCTCAAAAGACTCTACCTTTAGAGTAGCCAGGTTCCAGGAGAGCAAGTGGCATGACCCACTTGGAGATGAGGGGGGTCAGTCAAGCCTGCCTTTCCTGCACCATCCAGGAAAGATGTTGCAAATGGAGGAAACCTGGTGGGAGAGAGAAAGGAATTTGTGTCCAAGGCCATACTGCACCTTGTAGATAGTGGAGGGATTGAGTTGAGCTGAAACTCAGCTCCATCTCCCCCACCTATGTCCTAGAGTGGGGCTGCATCTCCAGATTGAAGGCACGCCTATTCTAATACACATAAGATAGCATATGGGCAAGAGGTACCTAGTGGGATACAACAGGTCATTCATCTAACTTATACCCCTTGGACATCTACTGAGCATGTGCTATTTTGGAGCATATTAGGCCTTGTTTTAATTTAAGATGCACCCACAAGTTGGCTAAGAAATATCTCAGAGTACCTGAAACATGGCACTCAAATATTGCTCTTAAATGGTATAAGTAATGTTAGGGTTTTAAAAATTATTATTACAGGGGCCAAGGATATAGCTCAGAGGCGCAAGTGCCTGCCTGGCAAGTGTGAGGTTGTGAGTTTGATTTCTGATTTTTAAAAAAAAATTATTACATTGCTCTTGAATGTTCTACACCTATCTGAAGAAGCTGAGATACGCCCCAATGCTCAAGGGTCCACCCTAATTCATCTACTGCCAGCCTTAGCTGGATGCAAAAAGTGTGCACAGAATTTCTATCAAACCAGGCCCAATCTGTCTTCTCTCTCTGTCTCTCTCTCTGAAAAATAATATAAATAAAGCAAGTAATTCCAAGTGTTTTAAAAAGAAGGATAGCAAAAAAAAAAAGGGGGGGTGCTGGGGATTTAGCTCAGTGGCACAGTGCCTGCCTGGCAAGCGCAAGGTCGTGAGTTTGATTCCTGGTACCAGAAACTCCCCCTACCCCAACCCCCCAAAAAAGCAGGATAGCATCATACATCTTTGAGTTTGACAAGGGCAGATATACATTTGTATCAGCGAGATTATTAAAATGCTGCAATCATGCTGTTAAAGACATACTGGTGGTCAACAGCAGGGTGAGGGAAAGTGTCAAATGGCATGTCCTAGGATTTTTAACTCACTAAGCCTACACTATAAAGCACTAAAATAATCACACTTTTCAGTTCATGGCACATTATACTATAATCACAAGACTTTTGCTTTGTATATATATGTTGTCTTAGTCACTTTCCTCATCACTGGGACATCATACCTGACTCCTGTAACTTCAAGGAGGAGAAGTTTGTTTTGACCCACATTTGAGAAGTTTCAGTCCTGCGCAGCCAGCAGCACGGTGGAAGGGTCTGGCGGAGGGAAGCTGCTCACCTCATGGCAGCCAGGAAGCAGAGAGGGAAGAGAGGAGCCAGAGAGGAAGATGTGCCCTTCTACTGCAGGTCACTCCCCAAGCGACCTGCCTCCCCCTACAGCCCCCCTTCCACACGGCAAGTTACTACAGCCCTCCCATGGTCCAATCCGCTTCCAGAAGTCCCACCTATGAGCACAGGAGGTTCTTGGGACATCTAAATATAATCCATTAACAAGTGTATGTAATTATTTCCCCTTCTCCCTCCTGTTCTTCCTCCACAGCTAATCACTCTAATATAGTCAATTATATTTCTTGTGTTCATATGTGAAGTGTGTATTGTTTGGTTTACATTTATTTTAACTTTCATCAATAGTGTTGGGTTATATATCTCATTCTAGGTCTTCCTTTTCACTCCTCACTTTGTTTTTGTACCTAAATGATGTTGCTATATGCACATCTAGTCCGTCCTTCTGACTGCTGCAGAGTACTCCTAGTATGTACGCAGAACAACTGGCATCTCTGCCTTCCCAGTCATGGGCACCCCAAATGTTTCCAACTTCTCTTCCCCAAAGCAGGCTGACCTGGGCAGCCTCATGAGCAACCCATATTAGACCCACATAGGAATCTCTATAGGCAGTGTCTCATCCATATGCTGTCTGTATGGAAGGCACCCGGCTCCTCTGGGAGGAAGAGTCCTACAGTAAAAACAAGGCTTGGCAAAACGAAGCTCAGGCTGGGGTCCAGCCCTCACTTCCTCTGTTGGGTGAGGCTATGTTCAGGGCACATCTGTATAACTATAAACAAACATTCCGTCATTCTCACTCACACCATTTCTGTTGTTTACAACTTCTCTCCTGGAAATGGAGAGCATCCATGACTACAGGAATTTTACCATAGGATAAATACTAGTTTGACCAAGCAGTGCCACACTGCTAGAGCACCTCAAACATGGGCTGACATAGTTTGAGTAGGCACGTTGGCATAGTTATGAGCCCGCAGGAACTGGGGAGTCAGGTGTGAGCACGACATGGATAGCAGAGCAGCTATGCCCGTCTGACCTAGCTACTGTGCTGGCTGATTTTGTCTTGGAAATGGCAGAGAATCATCTTTTCCTGAACGCTATTTTCCTGTCTTGTGTGGGCATAGGCAAAGTAACTGGCCTCATCCACCAGTTGGTGGCTTCAAATGTCTTTGCTACAAGTGTTGGAGATCTAACCGTGAACCATCCTGCCATTGATCTTGTAATAGACACAGATAAGGACATTTCCCACTCAGGAACAGCAGCAAAGCCCTAGATTCAACCAACCAGCATATTTTTAAAAAATTGGTCAGGTTTAAAATCTATCAGAGATTCTTAGTGACCAGACAGATACACCTAGGCCCTCTGAAAATAACTAAAGTGAAACACCTAAATTATAAAAAAGTATGGTGCTCATGCTGATGCTTTCTGATTGGTCAGAGGAGAACAATTACAATGAAAACTTCTATAACAAGACAAGACTCAATTTATGATTTTTTCTGGAAAAAGTCAATGAATTTTTTTAGCAGATTACTGAAAGTAAGCCGATTCCAGAAGTCAAACTATTACTATATTACTAGATTGTGTTTGTGAATTGAGAATTACCCTTCAGTACTTATAATAAGCCTAGGTAATAGCCCACTATAAAAAGACTCGAGCCACACTGAACACCACAGCCATTAACATTATCTTGGGGCTGGGGATTTAGCTCAGCGGCAAAAGCGCCTGCCTGGCAAGCGCAAGGTTGTGAGTTCGGTTCCTGGTACCGGAGAAAAAAACCAAAAAAAATGTCTATTAATACTTATCTCCTGGCAAGCGTAAGGTCCTGAGTTCGATTAAAAAAAAAAAAAAAAAAAAAAAAAAAAAAAACATTATCTTGTGCCCACTGTAAGCAAGCAGGAGGTGGGCTTTGGAAAACAATGCAGAGGAACAGAGGAGGAAAAGTACAGTCAGTGCATACATAAACAGTCAAGGTCCAGAAAATATTTACTGCGCAGTGAGCCTGTGACACAAAAACGGTAATATACACTTGATACTCAGAAAGAGGAGCAGAAGTTACAGTCCGGAGATGGCCGGGCTGTAACAAGGTTCACAAATGATCTGGCTGGGGGGCTGGGGATTTAGCTCACTGGCAAAGTGCCTGCCTGGCAAGCGCAAGGTCGTGAGTTCGGTTCCCGGTACCGGAGAAAAACCCAAAACAAAACAAAACAAAACAAAAAACAAATGATCTGGCTGGTTTATGAAGGATAAGGACATCCACTGCCCAGTGGGGTCTGACGTATCTTCTTGAAGGACTGCAGCACATCTTTACATTCTTCCATCCCTCCTCCTAGAAACGCATCACCCCAGAAGGGCCTGGAGCACTCCTGTCTGAAGTGTTTCTTGGTTAGACCCCCATCCCTGTATCCTGGTGGTCACTAACTCACATCACTGGCTTGTTGATGTTCCCTTTCAAAAGGACTGTGCTGGCTGCTGTGGTGTGTAAATTCACAGTCAGGGTCTCTCCCTGCTGTGCGAGTCCAGGCTCCTCTTTTACCCTTCAGAATGATGTAAATCAGAACTGCTTCCTGCACATCCCTTCAAGGTCTCATATCTGAATTGGATCCTCAAGCCACCCTTCCTGCCCTTTCTTCTACTTGATTCCAAGTCTAAATAAAGTAAGCCATGTTTGTTAATTTATTTATTTATTGGATTTAAAGGACTCTTCTGAGAGGCTCAAAGCCCATTTGAAAATTCAAGGAGTATGTTATTATTACTTAATAATAATCAAGGAGTTATTGTGCCACCAGATGACTAATGAAGAAGAAATGGGCCGAAATCAAGGGGAGGGAGATTGAAGTTGGGTGCCAGGGAAGTACTTGACAAGGGAGAAACACAGGCTGGACTTGGCCGTGGACATGGCGTGGCGATTTCATCTCATCCCTGGAGTCCGTAGGACAGGAGGAGGGGAACTTTCATAGTCTAGACTGGATGCTTGCCTGTCTGAAATGAGGGAATTCCAGGGCTCCGTGTAAATCTGGTAGCACTTCAGAGGGACGTCTAGATGTTGTGTCTACACTTTTTTTGTTCTTAACAATTGAAAAAGTATCGCTGGGGATATAGCACAGTGGCACAGCGCCCGCCTGGCTAGCACAAGGTCCTGAGTTTGATTCCTGGTACCTTTCCCTGACAAAAAGAAGGAAAAAGTACCTATTCCTGAAGAGAATAAGGAGGCCTGAGAGCCTTCCTAGGATTCTAAGAGGTCAAATAGCCTGAGATATTGGCCTCCTGAGCCCCACTGGGGCCCTGTTTACTATTAATTTGGGCCCAGGGAAGCAGAATTTCAAACATTAATGTCCACTTAGTAGATTAAACTTTCAGTTAATCAAATAAGTCTCACCTATTGTAACCACGTCAAAATTGGCAATTATCTATTCAAAATGACTACTACTACAGGAAAGACTATTACTACAAAGGTTATTACTACAGAAAACTTCCCAGAGGTATTGAACAATGCCAGAAGGAGGAAACCTACACCACTGCAGCTCCCATGAGCTCCTCAGAGGACACAGGTGGACAGGTCCAACCCAAACCCAGCAGCTCCTCTGCACTTCCGCTGGGGCTAAGCCCTTGAATAAGAAAGTTTCACTGTTGCCTCAGCTAACAGCTAGGGAATCCCGGCTCTGCATACCAGGTTCCCTAAGCAGTGATGAATCTGCTTTACTTCCTCCTTTATTTCCTTACCATGAGCATAGTTCAGTTTCAGTGTGGAGCCAGACAGGGCTGACT